ATGAGCAGGAACCACAGAAAACAAACAAAAAATCCAAAAAAAACCAAAATAAATTCCTAAAAAAAAAACGGGCACCCATTCTGCAAAGCTCTTAGGAGATCAATCAGGTCTTCTTCAAGCTCTGATCCCCAGAGTTTATCAGATCCTGCTTATACAAGGTCACCCCAAAAAAGTACCAGAATTTTTGAGAGATTCCTTCTTGTTGATAAGGGGGTGTTGTTAACCCCAAGCCCTAAACCGTTAGCAACGGCCTCTTGTTCTTACTTCTCAAACCCTAAACCCCTAGAGCCCTTGGACAGCATCTGTTGGCTCACTTTTGCGTCCAAGGCGATTTTGAGTTTCGGGTTTAGGCTTCCAGTTTTGCCCTTGTTGGGTAATATGAAGCCCAGTATAAACAAAATGGTTATTCTGGGGGAAGTCCCTGGATATCGGACACCTAAGTATTTGGGGTTTCCATGAGGTTTAGGGCTTAGGGAACAAAGGTATAAGGTACTTGAGAACGCCGCATCTGAAGTCTACCTACGTGGTTCCGGGTCTTTGTCGGATTAGGGTTTAGCGGTCGGGCTCAAAAGTAGCATGCCGCAAGAGCCGCAGCTGGAGCAATGGGAAGCCATGGTGCTTTCCACCATACGCCACTATGACCAGAATGCTGCTTCTTTCTGGGAAGGAACCAAGGACTGGAAGTTCCTGGAAACCTGACCTCCCAGTAGACCCAGAAAGAGCTTCCCCCGGCAGCCGCTCACACCATCGCTTGGGTCTACAAGCCTCAAGAGCCAATATAGGGGCCTAAGCAATTACCGATATTGTGGTTCCATATTCCGTATATAAATATGGTGTATGGTACCTCAAATGGACCTCAAGATGATGCTGGTAATTATTTAAGAGAGAGAGAGTATGTAGAGCATGAGCTGCACCTCCCTTTTTCCGGTGCTGTGGTCCCCACCAGGGGACTTCTGACGGGCGCCTGCGGGGTCTCCTGCCAGGCTTCCCTTGGTGACAAACTGGAGGCTTTCTGGAGATTCAGGGTTTAGGGTATAGGGTTGTTGAAAGAAAGGTGGGAATTTAGGGTGCGAGCCCGCAACCTGAAAGGAATAAAGTTGGGTGGATGCCTTCGTAAGCAGGAGTTGGGAAAATACGCCAACACACCAAGTCTTGGTGTCTTGGGCACGAGAGAGGTGCTGTCGCAGGATGTGCCGCACCCCCAACACCTGTGGGTGTGCCGGGGCACCGTTTTTGTTTGGCTTCTCCGGCCGCTGCGCAGCAACGCCCTAGACCCTAAACCCTATATCCCCAAGAACCAGCTGAATTTTTGATTTCTACCAGGGTTCCGGGGAATTTACTAGAGAGGACCACGACGTGAGCCAAAACCGAGATGCCCTGCTGAGCGCTATGGGGCAGCCGGTGGCAGGCGGGTTCTCAAAAAATTGGGCCTCCTTTTTCGGGGCCCTATAATACGGGCTATCATATTTTGGAGTCTATGCTGGGGTCCCTCTAACCCTCAACCCTGACCTTGCAATGGACACTCAGGCAGGAGAGTGTTGGATCTCGGTTGTGGCCCAGGGCGAGACATGGCCTACTTCCAGTCCCTGGGTATGAAAGTCACGGGCCTGGATGCGAGCAAAGAGTTTCTAGGTGGCATTCTGGGATACCTGATAGTAGGGTTTCGGGTTTAGGATTTCAAGGTTTATAGTCTATAGTCCCCCTTAAGTGGATGGAATCTGGCTCTGGGGATGTTTTTCTAAGATTTCCATATACCCCACATGCCATCTACTCAAGGGGGACTATAGGGCTATAGTGTTCTATACGGGAACCTGTTTTTTCGAGAAATTGGGGGGCTTTTAGATCACCACCCAGGTTTGTGCGGATGGCAAGGGAGTATACCCGGGCCGAGGTGCTACACCAGGATTTCCACCAACTAGCCCTGCCTCAGTCCCATTTTGACGGCATCTTTGCCAATGCCTCCCTCTTCCACGTTTACAGGACATGGGTAGGGAAAAGTCCCCAAGTTTTGGTGCACCAGTATTGTTCTTGTAGTTTGATCTCCCATCGTGTCTTAGAAATTCAACTATAGATGGACCACTCCTATCCAGTACAGGACGCACTTGCCGGCTGTGTTGGCAAGTCTGTACGATGCCCTCGCCCCGGGTGGCATCTTGTTCTCATCCAACCCGCGTGCTGATGAGGACACCGAGAATTTCTCAGGTAGGTAGCTGGCTCCCAAAATGGCATACTTTTACGAATTATGGACAAGACCCAGTTTTGGCCCTTCCCCCCCGGCCCTTGCTTAGTATCAACTTGGGAACATGCAGCAGCCTTACTACGTATAGCCCCTGGTTCAGGGTTTAGGGTAGACTCTTGCTCCGCGGGGGCAGTACCCAAGACAAGATAAGAATTAGAAATTGTCTTCAACAAACGACCTTAGTTTCCGTTACATTTTCACTTTTCTAATTTTCCTGCTCATTCTCGATGACCCCGAACCCCAAAAACCCGAATATGTAATCCCAAGCCCCAGGTATGGTTACTACTTATGTTACGAGTCGTATGCCGAGCTTATGAAGCAAGCCGGCTTTGAGGAAGTGGGCCATTACTACAGACCTCCAGGACGCCGTGTTATTGTCGGGTACCATTTTACAACTTTTTGTGTAGGGTTTAGGGGCTTTTGGGTACGAACTCTCTTTTTTTTTTCCCCCGATTTCCCTCACAGCAAGTGTCCTCGAAGTGGTAGGGGTATTACTTAACCTAAGCTCCGGTACCTCAACAATACTGTTGATGGAGGAAGTGCATGGTCCTAAGTACCCGAAACATCCCGAAACCATGAGAATCATAGGAGTTTGGTCAGTATCAACAACCCTAGACTCTAATCCCTAAACCCCAAGCCCTAAACCCTAATCCTTGAACCCCAATCTTTAAACCCTCAACCTCAGACCCTAATCCCTAAACCCTATTCCCTAAACCTGAACCTCTAAACCCCAAACCGACTAATCCCTAAACCCAATATCCCAATATCCCAGGAAAGCCTAGGCATCTCCAACCTTGGTTGGCTTCGACATGGCGCAAACCACGGTAGCAGTCGTAGAACATGGGGTGCGGGGGCTGCCCAAAAGATGTACGTAGGGTTTATCGGGCTTAGGGTTTAGGCATATGGGGTTTAAGGTTTAGGATTTGGGGGTGTATGTTTAGGTTTTGGGTAGATATACGGATAGTACGCCATTATCGTAGAATCAACTGGACCTGAAATGGACACTGGCTTTTGGGCTTCACGAAAGTGGGGGTTCCTATTTGGGGGCCTTATAATAAATGAGGGTTTGTGGTATATCGGCTTCTTACATCGCAGTCTACATGGGGGTACCTTTTTTTGGAAGCTACAACCACCTTCTTTTTTTTGAACCCCGACACAATATGGTAGCTGTATGTAACCTCTCATATGAATGCTTTTACAGACTGGCACTGGGTGGAGGCAGTACCCGGCCGATTTCGCCCCAGGGCAAAAACTCCCACAATAAGAAACTTTCCATTTTCTTTTCCATTTCCTTCGCTGCCTGGTAAGCAGAGGTAAGTTCTCCTGAGCCAAACCCTACACTGAAAGCATTCCAAGACCCCAGCAGAGACGGCTTGCAACGCAGAGAGAGCCGGCGAGTCAGAAAAAGGATGGTCGCAGCACCCCATGCGGAATGTGTATTTCTCAGGGAGAGGGGGTCCTTGTTTATGTAGTCCCGAACAATTCAATCTTTGCTTGAATCAATCCCTACTTGGAAATTTAAGGGGCTTGGTGACTACATAAAACTGGGTAATTAACACTGATCATAACCCTTCTTAGATTAAGTGAGTTTTAAGTAGAGACATACTACAAGTGTAGGGCGGGCCCTCAACAGCAGCTAAGAATCCTGAGAAGCTCCCGAATAAAATGCGATTCCCATTGCTTAAGAGCCGGTAGGAGTTTTGAGACCGTAAGAGGGTGCATAACAATAAGGCCTCGGGTTTTAACTGTGTGGTGAGCCCATAGGCACTGAGCCCAACTCCAGGCAACCAACACCCTTCGTAGCCCCCCCTTTGCACAGTTTGAGTCTGAGAGTTTCCGAAAATTAAAGATGAGTCCCCAAACCCTAAACCCTAAACCCTAAACCTAAACCGCCTTTGTATGCAGGGCATTCGAAATGCCCGTTTGAGCTCAGCCGCTCAGGAGGGTAAACCCTAAACCCTAAAGTCTACATCCTTATATGTAGGGGGGTTAAAAAGGGGATTATATAGGGTTATATACGGTTATATAGGGTTTAGGGATTTAGGGTTTAGGGTTTAGGGTTTAGGGTTCAGGGTCTAAACTCCTTAAAGGGGGTTGTATAGGGGATTATATAGGGGTCTAGTATAGGGGTTATTAAGGGGGATACTAGGAGTTTAGACTATGGCTTATATCCAAACTAACATGGAAAACCCATATAGACCCCTTTTTAGAAGGACTGTAGTCTTTATAGGACCCTTTTTGGGCTTCCATGTTAGTTTCCGGCAGTCTACATCCTTATATGGGTGGTTGTCAAAATTAGGGTTTAGGTTCAGTACTGGCCCCCCCTCACTAATAGTTGGATAAAAATATAATAGGGTTATATATAGCCCTTAATAGGACCCCTAATATAGACTGTTACTGGGTGGGGGCTGAGCCACTGTCTAAACTCCTAGTATCCCCCTTAATAACCCCTATAGTAGTCCCCTATAGAATCCCCCATATAACTCCCTTTTAAGGAGTTTAGACTATGGTACATATATATGGGTGGTTGTCAAAATTAGGGTTTAGGTTCAGTACTGCCCCCCCTCACTAACAGTTGGATAAAAAATATAATAGGGTTATATGTAGCCCTTAATAGGACCCCTAATATAGACTGTTCCTGGGTGGGGGCAGTACCCAAGGTTTATATGAGCCACTGTCTAA